TCAGCGTACGGGGGGCCGTAGACCCAACATGGACATCGACATCTCACCTAATGGGGGTCTTATGTTCGAGATGCAGCGTTGGTTGGAAGTGCGCAAGAAGTTCAACGGTGCCTCATGGTACCGCGCTGAACACAAACTGCTGTCTCTTACGGGGGCGTCTGACGCCTCGTCAGGTGGATGGGGCGGACTCATTAGGAGCCCTGGCCAGCCGATTTTCAAGGCAGGAGGAGATTTCCCGCCACAGATGGCGCACGAACATATCAACGTGCAAGAGGGCTACGCTTTGCAGCAGCTGTTGCATCTGTTTTCTGACGACCGCCCCACCCGTCTCGCGGGGTCGACACTCGTTTCGGACGTCGATAGTAAGGTTTTGCACGACGCATTTCGACGAGGTCGTGCATCGACTACTCTCATGCACGACGTGATTACGGATCTGTTTTGGTTACAAATCGAGCAAGATTTCACGCTTAAGCTCCGATGGGTGAGCTCTAAGGCAAACGCAGAGGCCGACCGTATCTCCAGGCCGGGGTCGGACGACTTTGTTAGGATCGACGAGCAGACGTTTGGCGAGTTGTGTCAGTGGGCAGGGGAGACGGTTACCATGGACCTGATGGCCACGCCGGCATCCGTTCATAAAACGTGGGACGCTCGCGGATGCACGGAAGCGGATTTGCCCTTTTATTCTCGCTATCACACTCCCGGTTGCGCAGGAGTGGATGTGCTTACGCACGATTTGAGGTTCATGCCGGGGTCAGCGACACAAGAGTGTTTCGGTTTCTGTTTCCCGCCAACCAGTATGGTCGGAGTGTTTTTGCAGCATCTTGAGGAATGCCAGGCGCGGGCAATAGTGGTAGTCCCCGACCACAAGCAGTATTGGTTCCCTCGCATGGCGAGTGCTGCTCGCAAATCGCGGAAGTTGTCGGTCTGTGGAGGTGTGTCCCCTTTCTTTCGAGTGCACCACCAGCGAGGGTCAGAGCGCTTCCATTTCAAGCGATGGGACATGGTGGCGGTCGTGGTTGATTTCACCAAACATAAAGGATGCGAGATTTTTCCGTTCGTCGCCTGGACTAGCTCAAATTGCGTGCATGGTCATGCTCAATTGGTGCTTTTCTCTCATATATATGTATCACATTTTATTTTATCAGGCCATCAAGACTATTTTCAGCGCCCTCGCCATCATCGTGGACATGCTAGCAGCGGTCGTTCGTCCTAGGAAAGAGGTCAACAACCAGAGGGATATCTCTTGTCCGCTCATCAGAATGTCGGCGTCGACGGCACGGGTTCTATGCCCGCAATGCTATGGCGAAAATGATGAGCCCTTTCGTTTCTGCCAGTGGTGTGGACAGTCGGTGTTACAATAACAGACTTGCACGAGTATTCCGCTACAGCTCAATGAAGAGGCCATCTCAAAACGGTTCTCGCAGTTCACCACTACATGCGCAGCACAAGCATCCGCGAAGAGTAGGTCCGCTACATGGGCTTTGTTTAGCAAGTTCTTAGCATCTAGAAAGGATGGTGCTGTTCCCATTGAACGCGCCCAACCCACAGACGTAGTGGAGTTCCTGTGCTGGTTGGACTCTAGTGGTACGCGACGACGAACTGTGGTTCATGCTCGGAATTGCGCAGCGGTCGGTACCAAGGACCTCGCCTCATGTTCCACGGAAGAAGGGGAGTGTAATCTTCGTTATGCTTTCGACTCGCTTCGCACAAACCATGTCTCGAAGTTATCAATGGTATTTGAGAAAGAGTTGGGAGTAGTCATACCGTGGAGTAGTACCTTACAGGTCGGTAACCCGGTGCGAAGCGAGCTCGTCGCGCAATACATGTCTTTCACTACGAGCGAACAAAAGCAAGCAGGCGTAGTGGTCAAACAAGCGCCTGTGGTTCTCAAGGGCCATCTCGAACGGATCATATTCCCGATGCAGGTCAAGCTACAGAACGCATCCACGGATATCGAACGGCTTACGCTAGCGAGAGATCTGGCTTTCTTTGCGGTAGCTTTCAGTACCACCTAGCGAGGAGCGGAACTCATGAACATCCTGATTCAGCGTATCCTCAGACTCCCGAACAAAAGCGGGCTCATGTGTAATTTTCAGTGGGGTAAGACTCAACGGGATGGAGCGGATCACCTGACGATCCCGTACGATGAGGAGTATATTAGCATCTGCCCTGTTCGAGCAACAGAGCAACTGATCGCCGTGGGCACACAGGTGGGCTGGGATATGACATCAGGGTACCTTTTCTCAGATGTCTCCGTGGGAACACATGGTAAATCGTTAAGGGGTAGTTTGCCTGTAACGACCACTACGATGTCCTGCTCGCTCAAGCAATACCCAATCGCAGCGGGCGAGACACAGGAGTTTTCTCTACACTCCTTTCGCTCAGGAGGAGCAGTGTCACGAGCCTTGGCAGGCGATTCGCTGTCGACCATCATGCAGAGAGCATACTGGAAGAGTCCAAAGACGGCGTGGAGGTACATGAGGCTCATGGAGGTACTTGCCCCCGGATCAGAAAGAGCCAGCAGGATCACGGGGGTCACGGAGGACCAGTACAGACAGCTGAATGAGTTTGGTCTGAGCGAGCAAAGCCGGCATTTGGCCGCATTTAGCGGAAAGCCGTTGCTGTAAGGAATGTTTTCCGGTCAGACAATTAATTGTAATCGTCCTTTGTGTGTGGCAAGCAGCCCACACATTCAGCAGTTTCTTCTGGGAAGTATGGGATAAGGGAGTCAAACAAGGAGTACGACTCCCAAGTAAGGGAGAAGTGGACACACCGGCCGCGGGAGGTGATGCCACTGTTTCATCCCATACTATCTGAGGAGAAGAACTGACTTGGAAATACTGATGTATCCTGCA